GGCCTGCTACTCAGATACTTCCTCTTCTAGAGAAACACAAGTCTAATAGTCCTTTGAAAAGTTTTTAGAAACTTTGGTAGGTTCAACATATGACAGTCATATCACACTTCTTTTCGTGTGAATATGATGCAGAATCGAATGATAGCCAGATCTTTAATATTAGCATGTAATGCACAATGAGGCATGCTGTACTATTAGATGTAATATTAGTGTAAGAAATAATTACAGTGTATAAGGTAGTGTGATTTAAACATAATAATAGTCCTACTTTGTTAAATTAGAGGTATAATTGAAATATCTGCAGAATTGTCTTTCCCCAATGGGATTGACCTGACCCATTCATTAAGGAAGAAGGGGCTTACTGTGGATCCCATCAGCCAAGAAATTTCGGCTGGTGGGATACAAGAAGAGAGCCTTCTCTGCTGTGGCTCCTGCTGTTTGGAAAATCTTGCCACATAAGGTAAGATCTTCCCCCTCTCTTTTAGCCTTCAGAAAAGCCCTTTAAATCTGGCTATGCCAGCTAGCAGAGGATCTTGAAAGAGAAGTTACTAAGTATCTCACTTCTCCCCTCCAAATCCTTTGGTTTAATTTTTGTAATTTTAACCCATTTTATATTTATAACTTATTACATGTTGTTTTATTTTGATGTATGCTGCTCAGAGTTGCCTGAATTGCTAGATGGGCAACAAATTTGACTAAATCAATCAATCATTCTTATTTTTACATTATTTTCACAACTGACAAAACTGACTAGTCCATCTGGAAATGTTTTCATCTGGGTACCAAAGTTAACTGATACTGAAAACACACTTTAAAGAGAGAGAGAGAATCTTCAACTTTATCCCCAAACACAAAAAATAAAGAAATGTTAACTGTTACTTTTGACCTGCTGCAAAGATTTCCTATTGCTTGGTTTATATAGACCTGTTTTGGTTACATTGAAGAATAAATGTCCTCAAAGATGCCAAAGAAAATTCTTTCGGTTTATAAGAATTACCTAGCTGACTTATTTAGAAACTAAAAAAAACAAAAAAACAAAAAAAACCTTTCTTTTTCAGAATGATTAAAGAAAGGAACAACTATTTTAAAGCAATGACTGTGGCTGATTCTCACCAGTGCTCATGGGAAGTTTACAGTCTTTCCTTTTGTACTTTGAATGTGCCATTGACTATCCAAAATTACTACCAAAATATAAGACCCTGTCTTATATTTTTTGAACCCCGAAGTAAGTGCTTGGCCTTACTTTCGGAGATGTCTTATTACTTTGGGGCGCGTGGAGCAAGATGGGGCTCTTCTTGCCGTCTTACGTGATTTCCAGCTCTGTCTCCCTAACCCTAACCAGAGGAAATGGCAGGGACCAGCTCCACATGTGGTTAAATATTTTCGGGGAAGGCTTATTTTTGAGGGGGGGGGGCTTATTTTTAGTGCATGCGCTCAAAACCCTGATTGGGCTTATTATCAGAGGATGTCTTGTTTTAGGTGAAACAGGGTAAGTGTACAAAAATGAACAGAAAATAGCCTGTATTGAAACCCAAGGCTCTGCAACAGGCAGATTTAAGGGAAAAGAGGTTTTTTAATAGGTGTAGGGTAGTCATGTAGCAGGTGTCAGCACCTCTTTAAAGCAGCTGCGTATCTTTTTGCGACTGTGTGTGGGTGCTCCTGCAGTTGCTCCCCAATCCCAGAAGAGACATGCTTGAATTCAGGAGTTGCCAACACATGCTCCAAAGGACCTTTTCTCTTTTGAGTTGAAAGTGTGGCCTAAACCTACTTTCAAGCTAAAGTTTAAAAACAAGGCACAGATCAAGAAGTTATCTAATAGAAAACATTAAATATAAACTTACTTGGAGCCCAGTGGCCATTCTACTGGAAGGATGCTGCATAGAAAAGTATATATATAGGTAATGGTCCCTTTTTGAAACGTGTCAGCTGACTATAGTACCTATGGAAGGATGTTTGTGGGACAAATGCACACAAATTCATGCAGAAACAACTAGCACAGCCAATCCATAGAAACATTTCAAATCGTTTTATAATGAGACCAAGAAATAAAATGAAACAAGAAAAAAAAATCCATCTTGTACCCAATAGTTTTTTCCTACTACAGGCTAGAAGGAGAAAAGTCAACAAGAATAATTTTTGCCACAATTAAAGAAACAAGCGCAAACTAAAATTTAGCAGGATCGGGTAGGCCACAGCATGGGCAAAAACCCCATAAGCATAAGATTTTGAGAATTGAGGAAAAGAGTTTATCAAGAACAGTAACAAAGTATTTTGTTCTCTTCTGGGCTTAGTTTAGAGAGTAAATATAGAATAATTCCCTTAGATATTATCAAAATACATACTTTTTGGGAACATGACTTGGTGGGTGGGTGAGCTATTTGGCAACTAGCCATGGTTAGGAAAGTCCCTGAGTAATAACTCAAATTCTAAGTTAATTCTCTGATTAATTCAACATCTGTTCTCTTGGGTTTAGTCAAATCATTTTATTTTAATGACTCATTAGAACTTATTTGTTATTTATCGAGTCATACACTAGGACTGTTCCTGATATGAGAGGACATTTTCTTTACTAAAATTGCTGTAAATATGACTTTTGTTCATTTTGTTTTCACTTTTACCAGGAATGCCTGCTTCTAGGTGGCCAGTTGTTGCATCACTTTTTCAGGTTCTGTATTATACTTCCAGAGTAGTGGAAGCAGTTAGTTAAGAAGAAGTAGTGTTCTGTGCTGGAGATGGGAAGTATTTAATTTTTCCAAGTGTTTCAAAAGATAGCTGATCATATTTTCATAGCAGTTGTTTCCATGGGTCTCTGGGTTGTGGCTATTGAGTAGCATACACCTCTTAAATATGTACAGCTATTGCCTCAAATGATTCAAAACTTGCTTTTGTTTGGTTTTGGTTGAAAATCCCCTGAGCGTGCATCAGAGGGAAGTCCACAGATGCATTTGTCTTGCTGCGCCTGCAGCCAAAAATAAAAACAATTGTTGTGCTATACCAATGCATGTTTTGGGGCCATCTTTTCTTGTTCAGTACATATGGGTAGCAGAAAGGGATGGGGTTCCCTCTAGAATTTTGGAAGCTGTTGCTAAGCAACATGCTGCAGATTGCTTTTTTAAAACCTAGGTTAAGAGTTTGAGGCAGGAAACAGGTTGTCTTTTGAAGTTTTTCTCTTAGAATACCTTGCAGTGGGTTCTTTGAAAATGTGGAATAGAAAATTGTAGGTGGCCATCATATTGGCTTTTATTTGACAAATATTTTAACTTTTGAATTAAAACAGCTGGGGAAAAGAGTCTAAGCATATTGAATCTGGGGTTGATTCTGAGTTCAAAACTTTGTGTGGAAATGTTTGCATTTTATGGAGTATTAGTAAATAATAAAGTATAAACAGCTTAATTGCATACACTTTTTTTATTTAGTCCAAAAAGGGACTAAGAAACTCTTAAGCATTACTAAATCTAGCAGGAACATATGATGTGAGGCCTCAGTGACTCACAAAAGCATCCAGAGGTATGGAGTGTAGTCCCAGAGCCTTGAAAAGTTCCCACCAAATTGTAATTTTTAATGAGAAAGAATAGGAAAGTTAACAATGCTTTTTGAAGAAGTACAACCATATTTCATAAAACTTAATTATATTTAATGAATGAATGAAAATTAAAGCTAACCCATTTTCTGGCCAAATCTTGTTTTACTTTTAGAAATGCAGCAGCCTACTCTCACCCTTGATTCTAATCTCGCCCTTGCACTCCTGAGGATATAGCTCAGTGATGATTAACCTTTGTGCCAAAAGCTGGGGGAGCGTAGGGGGGTTGCACGCGTGCGTGCCCACACCCAAACTTCAACATGCCCTGCCTCCCATGCATGCGTGTGCGACCCCCCCGCACTCCCCCCGCTATTGGCACACGATGGCATGGTGGGACTGGAAGGCCCATTTTTCACTCTCCCCAGGCTCCAGAGACTTTCTAGGAGCCTGGGGAGGGCAAAAATGGCCTTCCCCCCCCCCAGAGGCCAGAAACAGCCCATTTCCCAACATCCGGTAGCCCGGAAGGCCGGAAAATCAGGTGGCTGGCACACGCATGCGTGTTGGAGCTGAGTAGGGCAACGGCTCGCGTGCCCAAAGATATGGCTTCCCGTGCCACCTGTGGCACGCGTGCCATAGGTTCGCCATCATGGGTATAGCATGTCTGCTGATCTGCTTTTTAAGTGTAGTCAGTCATGTAAAAAGAAAAATAATATCTATGTATTTTACATTCAACTGCTCTAACAATATAACAGTTATGTGGCATTGTATTCATTTATTCTAATTTATTAAAAATGGAAACACTTCTACCCCACATCACTGGCTTCAGAATTAAACTGCAGTTTGTTAAAAGAGAGATTAGATTATAGTTTATAACGATTCATAGCAGAATCCAGTTACTCTGTTTGCAATGTATAATCTGTATAACTATATTACCTTCAATGAAATACACTTCTGAGGTAGCCTATGGCTTGGATAGAAAGTGTATTCTTTTCAGGCATTATGGCAGCCATGTCTATATACCCCTCCCCCAATCTCTATAAAAAGATGCTGCCCCTCTACCCCACAAGGCACTCTGTGCACACTGAACAATTGGGAATCTCAGTCTCATAAAGGTCTCTAATGGCATTCAGGTGGACACTGGACAGGACTTCTCTGTAGACCTTCCCTTTTAGCCTTGATGAAGAAGAAAAAGTCTTTGGACTGTTGGGGAAGCTACCTGTTAGATCTATGATCTGTTAGCTTCCAGGGTTGGCTCACATGAAGAATCCAGGCAGTGGTAAATGCATCCTTGAGACTTCTCAATGGCTTTTGATACTCTTGAACATGATATTCTTTTGGATCAGCTCAGTGGATTGGGAACATATTGCAATGATTTTCTTTTCTCCTTCAGGATTGGAGTCATGCTGATGGATTGGTTGATGGTTTCACAATGACTTTGGGGTTTAATGTGCTTCTTTTTTCTTCTTCTTTTTTTCTGCAGTCGTACTTCGTTACAGATTATGATCCCACAATTGAAGACTCCTACACAAAACAATGTGTAATAGACGAAAGAGCAGCAAGATTAGATAGTAAGTTTCTTATTAATTTTGTCCCTCTATAGAAAATGTGTATTGGGTGTGGAATGTTTATTTAAGGACCGGGTTCATTTTCATTATTTGTATTCACTTTTTTAATTGTTCCTCTCTTGAGTTTCTATAAGCATGTAGAGCCTTTACCTACATGGAAGGAGGAACATATTAGCTCCATTTCTCCCCTACAGTGATTTTCTGTAGTCTTCACATGCAGAAATTAAATCCATGTAACCTTCTACCACTCATGTGCAGAATTATTAGAGAACAATAATATAGGATGGAGAAAACGTCATGTTTGCTTTCCCACAAAGTTATGTTAGAGTTAATTTTTAAAGATTAAATGAAGTATGTGTGGTAGGGAAATATCCCCTATTGTACCTCCCAACATTTGACTGTTTGAAGTTTCCTCTTTGTTGACTTTCAATATTGCAGTTAATCTGGAGACAAAGTTTAAAAGAGGCATTGGAGTGTGTAACAGAAAGGCATGGGAGGGGACATGTTTAGTTTAAGAGAATATGACCTTAATTTTAAAAAATAATTTAAACTATAGTTAATGCAAGGAAGTTGTAAAGAAAGTTTTTTAGGAAGTAAAACTAATGAGTCTTTTTTTTTTTTAGTTCTAGATACAGCAGGCCAAGAAGAATTTGGAGCTATGCGGGAACAGTATATGAGGACTGGAGAAGGCTTTCTGCTTGTCTTTTCAGTCACAGATAGAGGAAGGTAATGGAAGTCTGTATGAGATCTATCATATCTATTGTGGCTAGAATAAACCAACATGGATTACTTAGGAGTAATTAGCCCTGGTTTTCAATATAGTGAATTAATTTTTCTGAAAAGATCCATAGAAATGTCTGACTAACTCAGCTCAAACAAGAAAATGGTGGATTTAGTTTTCTTGAGTATAGCTTTACCATCCCACAAAAAGAGAGTTTCAGGGCAGGACAAGAAGCAATGGATGGAAATAATCAAGGAGAAAAGCAACCTAGAACTAAGGAGAAATTTCCTAGCAAACCTCCAAGGTTCCATGGCATAGGGCCTAGCTATCTGCGAGACCGCCTCCTGCTACCGACGACCTCCCATCGACCCGTGCGCTCCCACAGAGAGGGCCTCCTCAGGGTGCCATCAGCCAAACAATGTAGGCTGGTGACCCCCAGGGGGAGGGCCTTCTCGGTGGGGGCTCCCACCCTCTGGAATCAGTTGCCCCCGGAGATAAGGAGAATCCATGACCTCAATGCCTTCCGTCGTCCCCTTAAAACCCATCTTTTCCAGCAAGCCAGGTTGGCTTAAGAAGAAATTTTTAAATTCTTTTAATCAGTCTGTGATTTCTTAACTTTCGGGCCAAAATTTTTATATATTTTTAAAATGTTTTTTAATATTTGTATTCTATGTTTTTTATCTTGGCTGTACACCGCCCTGAGTCTTCAGGGAGAAGGGCTGTATATAAATTGGAAATTAAATTAAATTAAATTAAATTCCTTCCAACTCTGTTATTCTGTTAAGGATTGTGAGATGATAGAACTACTAACTTGGATAGTTCCTAACAGTTTTTCTTCCCTTATTTTCCCAGTTTTGAAGAAATTTATAAATTTCAAAGACAAATTCTTAGAGTAAAAGATCGTGATGAGTTCCCTATGATTCTAGTTGGAAACAAAGCTGACCTGGACCATCAGAGACAGGTAAGAATTTGGTAGGAACGAAATGCCAAAAAGAATGTTTTTTTTTTTCTTAATGCTGCTATAGAAGAATGTATGGCAATGGGTTCATTTCTTGACATCTCCAGATAGAATGCTTCCATTTGAAACTCTGGAGAGGTACTGCTCTAATTAATTTTTCTTTTTGGGAGGTTACCCTCTTGATGGATTAATTATTTGCCATCAAGTTGGTGTCAACTTTTAGCAACCACATTCTGGCCCAAAACAGATCAGGCTCTGCAGTTAAGAATTTTCATACTTAAATATTTAGATAGGAAGCCATTCTTCCTAATTTATGAAAGCATTTCTGCATTAAATCAACTTCTTCTCTGAGCAATTGCCATTTGAATGTTATTCAGGACAATATCTAAGCGATGAGACAATTATTATGACATCATTATTAAGGCATGAGTCTCTTTCCAATTATGTTTCCAGCATTTCCGATACCAACAATTACTCATAGCATTAGAGACTGAGGATTGTTTTTCATTCGTAGTAGTAATAATAATAACCCTTTCAGAAAATTGACTTATTAGAATATAACTAAAAGAGAAGCTATTTTGAAACAAAATAGCATGTAAAGAGGAAGTTATTTAGGATAAAAAAGAGTTGAATCTTCCTGTCAGTGAAAGTAGCTGGCATTTATGGGAGATACCGTTGTTCCCCTTTCCCCATCCACAGCCAGCATCATGGATGCCTTGTTGAAGTGATATCCCAGGTGCCGTGACAATATTATGCAAATGGCATGCAATATATGGTGGATGGTATACAGAACATAATTTGTACATGATGCACATGACATCATTTGCTCTCCTCTCCCCCTTAATACCATGTCCATTCATATATCACTATGTCCATTCAACATTACCATGTCCATTATTAATGTGGCCACTGATATAGAATGCTGTTATGTATGAGTGTAGCATTTCTATAGCATAATTTCTTTATAACAAATTGTCTCTTAGGCTCCCTTCGTTGACAGTCTATCTTTGTTTTGCTTAGTCTCTTGTGGGCTCAAATTAAAAAGCATCTTTACTGATCAAAATAATTTAATCACGGTTGATGGGAGAAATTGCAGTCCAGCATAAGAATTTGTCCATGGTGAGGACACAGCCTGAATTAGCTACTCTGGTTACCAAACACATCGGTGTTTGCTGTTACATATACAGCATATATTTTCTTTATGTTCTCAGGTAACACAGGAGGAAGGTCAGCAATTAGCACGGCAGTTGAAAGTAACCTATATGGAAGCTTCAGCAAAAATACGGCTCAATGTAGATCAAGCTTTTCATGAACTTGTCCGAGTTATAAGGTAAACCTTGAATTGCAAATGAATAGAAATGCGTTTTAACTTCTTCTTTTTTTTTTTTTTTTAAAAAAATAGATTTTCTTCCTTTCTCTTTCAATTTTATTATTCATGGAGTTTATTCTTTGCTTGTAGAGAGGGCCAAAGTCATACGTAAAATTTTTGTGTTTTTGTAAAAACAACAACAACAGTGTAAAGTGCAAATGAATTCTCTTTATGAGCAGAAGGTATATTGCTTCAGATGTTGTGATCTCAACAGCATTAGCTTCTGTGTCTCAGGTAAATAATTTACCAGGAGTTACAGGATGCTCTTTTCCTTAGATGAGGTAATGAGTCCATTTCAGTAATGTAACTCTAATAAAGGATCAACAGTAAACAGTTCTTTTCCAATCTGTTTTCAGTTCATTTTTAATCAGTTTTTTAAAAGAAGGTGCTTATTTTTTCTATTAGCATGACATTCTTTGGAAAGTTGTTTTTGTTCACATGTCCAATTTGATGGATAGAACTTTTCTCAAGATTTGGAATCTCTTTTCTTTGCCATCCTTGCTTTTTGTTATTAATGTTATCAGTAAAAATTGCCTGCTGCTAACTACTTCAAATATACCAGAGACTTTTTTATTAACTTTATCATGTTTTTATCATACCCATATTGTTGGCATTACTGAATTTATACTTTTGCTAAGATTTTTTAAAATTAAAAGTCTTTGGATATGACATCTCACATAGAGGAAGTTCAAACTGGGTTACATAAACAATAATATCATTCTAATATCAAGCAGAATAAAAATAAAACGAAGAACTATCCATTCAGATAACAGGATCAGATATGTTGTATGATACCTGCAACCCATTACTTTTGAGATATGCAGAGGAGAGGTGATTCTGAAATATGGAAAAGGACATCAGCATCACAATCAACATCTAAACACTAAGACACAGAAAACAAAATTTCCTGCAAAGTTTGTCGAGGCCTAAGAGCCTGCTGTAATGGAGACTTTGCTTGATCCCAAATTATTAAGTATTTCTTTGTATACTATTGCAGGCATCTTAACCTAGCCCAACTACAGACTTCCTGATGATACCCATTCCTTAGGGTGACTAAAGATTTTCCTGTCCCTTAACCAGGCAAAATTTAACTGAAATGGTCTAGAATGGGGATGGTGGGAAAAGGTTGTGCTTAATATTCGAGGGGCTATAAAGCAGATGACCCTGATTAGATATATGGATAGGGCTGGGTTTGCAGGGGGAAAGGTTCTTTTTTAATTGCAATATGCCTATTTCGGGAATTATACTTTTTGTGAATTTAGTAGTGAGATGAGGTGCTGAGGGCCACTAATAGAAGCTTTGGAGATTTTGACATTTTGATATCAACCTGGGTCTTCCTAGTCTGAGTCCAAAATATTGGAAATCCAATGTCCTGTCCTTTGAAAGCTAAGCCTGGAACATACAAGTTGAGCATGCCAACTAAATATTGGCAGGATATGCTATAGTATAAGAGAGGAAGCTAGAATGGAAACATTCCAGATATTGCTGACAAGACGTGCTGTACAAAATGTGAACAAATATCTAAATGGCCCATCTCAGTTAAACACATTAGTGTGAAAAAATTCACTTCCATCCACTTTACTTTTATGTGGGTGCAAAGTGCTGTAAATAGCCTGGTCTCATTGGATTCCAGTTGGACTTTAGAAAAGCAAGACAGGAAGAAAATTGACTCATTTGAGCTGTGGTGCTGGTGGAGACATCTGTGTACTCCTTGGACAACAAAGGTGACTAACAAGCAAGTACTGAAATGCCTAACACCAGTCATGTTACTGGAAGGCAAAATCAAAAACTGCATCCCACTTAATTTGGGTCATGTCATGCGGGAGAATTCACTGGAGAAAGCAATTATGTGCAGAAGAGTTAGTGGTAAAAGGAAACCAGGCCACCGAAGAACATGGGCACCATCAAAGCTGACACCAGCCAAAACATAGAACAATTCGAAGAAGTAGTGCAAGAGTGGAAGATGTGGAGAGACCTGATCCATGGAATCATCAAGTTTTGGACATGACTAAATGGATAACATCTTCATCAGTGGATTCCTAAAATTAAATTTCACTCGCATTTTGTGGGGATGGGTGCATGGGAGGAAACCTGGCATTGGTCTGTATGATCCAATCAGAGACAGTTGGAGCAATGCATAAGCTAAGCAGACTTATATGTGGAACTGCATAGAATTGAAGCCCTAAGTCTTATCTGATTTTTTTTTCTTTCGTAGGAAATTTCAAGAACAAGAATGTCCTCCTTCCCCAGAGCCAACGAGGAAGGAGAAGGACAAGAAAGGGTGCCACTGTGTCATCGTCTAAAGATCCTTTAAAACAAGCTATCGACTGCCAGATTAATTCTCCTCACTTTTCTTCCTGTGTGTCTTGATGTTTTGTCTTGCTTTATGTGTGCATGTTGTATAAATGGTCACCAAAATAGCCTTAGTTGGAAAGAATCAGACTGGTCCAGACCTAGAAGACACCTTAGTCATCTCACATCAGAGGTCAATACACTAAGGCTTCTTTTAATACTCCCAAATTCTTTTTCCTTACGTCAAGAAACTTGCACTTTGTGGAGTTTTATTCACAATGGACAAAAAGTAGTTTTAGGAGTCTATTGAAGTCAAGCTTAAAATGGCTATATGGGTATTCCCCCCCCCCCCCGTGAGATCTTTGTTGATCATACTCAAGAGAGAGAGAGAAAGAGTTCTCTAATCAATATGTAGAGTATTTTTTTAAAGAGTAGATTTGGAGGTTTTACCCTTTAATTAGATTAGACAACAAAATTCAGCCTGCCTTACAGGAAGCCAATACACTGAATTTCATTGGCAAAGTTTTGTGTTACAGCTCTTGTTTATGCTGCAGTTTTTTCCAGTGCTCAACTGTCTACTGTATTTATTTTATGGCTCCAGCAATAGCTACAGGATTATTAGTATTACAGCTTTATGGCCAAATACCTGGGCTCATTATGGATTGGAGCATTTTAGTTTTAAATAATGTTGCATCATGGTTTGGAATAAAATTGTGTCTTCCTTTTGTATTTCCAGGTAGGAGATTCCAGAAAAGTTAATCTGTAGCTTTTGTTTTTCATGTAATATAAAAAGAGGATTTTGCTCTTTCCATTGTCAGATGATTAAATGTTTTTTGCTATATACTTTTATACATTATTTTCTTATCAAACTAGTTAACAAGTATTTTTATATGTTTGTAAGCAAATATGCTTTCACGGCATGTTGTGTATATGTAAAGATGAGTATTTAATTCTCGCAGTATACTTTCAACTGATGGAACTGCATAATGCAAGATTTGTAGAACTGTGGTAGAACCTCTTTCTTGTTCCAACTTTACTGAATGATGGCAGGCAGATGTCTTGCCCAATATACAGTAACCATTATCGTATCATGTTTTTCAAAACACCTTCCGTATGCTTCACAAATGACTGACCATTATATAACTATTAAACCGTACAAGTGTTTAACTGAATGTTCAGTTCAGTGGGCCACATCCAACTTTAAAGTATGCTAACTATGGTTAAGAATTTTGGGTTTACTCTGTGGGATTACACACTTAGTGGGATTGATAGTTTGTCATTATTTGAAATTGTAAATGAGTGCCATACTGATTATTTCACAAAGTTTGGTTATTTAAGTATTCAGTATAGTAACATTAGACTGATTTTAAGGCGATAATTGACAGGTCCACAATGGAGAGGTAAAAAAAGACCTCAGATAACCATTCTCAGGCTGAAATTACTTAAAAAGCAGGCCAACCAGAATGTTCCAAATTCACCTATAATATAAAACTGAGTATAGTTGCTTTATAATCTAAATTATGTTGTGAGCATATACTAAACAAATTATTGAAACAGAACTTGAGCATAAAACATTTTAGAACTGCACACACATTCACAGCACAATTGCAGATGGAAGCCATAGTTCTCATTAATACAGCTTCTGGTACTATCGTTATATATTTATAAAATAAGTAAAACCTCCACTCTCTGTGACATCAGGGACACATCCATATAATTCGGGCGACAGTATGGAAATGATGTGCCACTGCTGCTTCCTGAGATTTTTAACTTTTCAGAACAAAATGTAACTCTATTATGGTATTTCTAGTAGTCTTTCCTACTAGGACTAAAGACTTGATCCTGCTTAACTTTTTGAAATCAGCTAATGTCGGCCAAGTGAGTACATGTAAGCTGCCATTTACAAAACAAAGTTAAGTGGAGCAAGCAGGATGAATTTAGAAATATTTGCTCTTTTTGTAAGAAGAGCAACATTAATGTACAGTGGCAAAAAAAAAAAAATCAGGAATCTTATCTACCAGATTCCTGGTGTTTTGCTCTTCCTTGATGAGTAACTGATCAATGTAAACATTAAAGTGCACAATTATATTGAAATCCCATGTTTGTTTGTTTTTGGCTTTCCTGTACTGATGACGATCAGTAATAAGTTTTGCCCGTGTTGCAAAATCAATTATCTCATTACAGTGATTGTAGAACTTTAAGAAAACATTGTGCAAACTTTATAGACTGCAGAAAAGTCTGCTTCATGTGATGGCTTAACAATCATGTCTTCTCCTTCCTTTGTCCCATCCCAAAGCTCTGAGCACCTATCCACAACCAAGTAAATCAGACCTAATTGATGTGGCTTTTGAGCATTGCTATGTTGCAAAAATACAAATTTTTTATAAAACTGCATGTGTTGATGATTTTCCGCTGTCTTTGAATATTCTTTGAGGAGAGGTTAGGACTCGTACCATTTTTCATAGGTGTTATCCACTGAACTAAAAAAAAAAAAAAACAATTTGAGATTTTAATTCCCAGGAAGAAAAGTTCAGAGTTTGGTAAATCCCTTCTGATTATAGAGGTGATGATTTAATATATGTTCAAAACATGCTGTCCAATCTCCAGCAGGAAGAAGCTGAGAAACTGACATTTTATAAAGATCAATTGAATTCTATGTGAGTCTAGATTTTTAGATTTCAGCTCAAAAAAAGAAAAATCAGAATAAAATTCTTCATTGTGAGCCTAGTCTTAGACACTAAAGGTGGTACATTCCCTGAATCTTCCTGCTTTTAAATGATTTAAATAACATGCAAACAAAAGCTGGAATGGTGATGGTAATGGGGGATCAATAATTTCATAAAAAGTGGCCTGAACTGCAAGTGCTTTGTGAATTATATATATACTTGTACACTTGTAAATATTGCTCTATTATGCTTGCATACATTTAACTAAAAGTTAATTAGAGAGAGCACTTCATCATACTGCTTAAATAACTAGTCAAGCACAGTACACATTAACTCACTTTTGTACAACTGCTTTTTTTAATGTGGAATGCAGTCAGTTATTGATAACTTCTTTTTCCATTTTGATAAACCGTGTTTCAGTGGCATCCAACATTCCTTTTAGAAAACTGAAAACCATTAGGTGAAGTCTTCAGTTACCTTCCAGGAACTGTATGGAAAAACATTTAGTCAGACAAATTGGGTGCGTTGTCTGTTTTGTCTCCTTTGGTGTAGTACTTTCTGCAGTTCTACACAGTTCCAATTCACTGATGGGGTGGACTTCACTGCAGTTCAGGTCATTCACTGAGAAGAGAGGGAAGTAATTCATAATTCTGTTTCCCTGCAGCTTCAGATGGTCAGAACGAATAGCTGGTACTCCAGCTGTGTACTTCCCTCAGCAACCACAGAAACAGGCTCCATTCAGTCACATCCCGAAAAAAGAAGAATAAGAGCCAGCTGTTTAATGTCAGGCAATTGCCACAGCACAAAAGTAAACTGGAATTGACTCTGACTTGTAGCCCTAAACTGTCAATTGCAAGCCCCATTTCAGTAGAAGTTGGGGTGAAAAATATTAAAGCGAAATAGCTTATTTCAGTCTGCTTGCCCACAGAAGAATTGTGGAGATAGGTATACATGAAATGCAGACAGCAACCTACATTATTTTTCAAGTTTGGTACTGGGCCAGAGGTCCCACCTTACAAGTAGAGACCACTTAGTGCCTGTTGTTAGTCCAGACCAGAATTCTCAAGTATATTTGATATATAACCTTCCAAAATGTTCTGAAGCAATAAGCAAATGGTCAAGTCAACCTTGCAAGGAGACCACGGGAAAGGATAACAATCGCAAGTAAAAAACCCAAGAAGTATAATTTATTCAAGTATCCCAACATCTCTTATTATTGGGGCAAAGTGAAACAAGCCATTAAGACTTAGGCTTTCTCTTCCATCAATAATGGTATGTGTGAATGGTATGTATGTGTCTTCAATATTCTGCTGGTTTCATTGTAATCTTTTCCAAGTGCAGTTTTCAGTTCAACAGAATGAACACAATGCAGCCACAAATAGTGGCTTACACATGGAGTAGGGGTTATGTAAATTATTCACACCTTAAGAGGTGTGCATTTAAACCAAGAAACTTTGCTCTATGGGGATGGTCTTAACTTGAAGCACTTTGGTGTACAGGACTACATTTCCCAGAATTCTCAGCTGATGCGACTACTGATTGGATTGAGGATTTGCAGTCAGAGGTTTTTGCCATCTCTGGAGGGTATCCAATGGGGTGGGGAAGGGTGTTTGAGATGCTAAAAAGTCTGCTAATGTAATGGGTTTTCTTAAAAGAACATTTTAAACTTTTTAAAAAAACCTATAGAAACCAGGCTAAAATATTAGCTGAGCAATTACAGAGTAAATGGCTGATTTACTCTTTTGATGCATGAGATACTAGATTCATCCTGGAAACACTCAGTGAGTACTTCATATTTCCAGAAAAGTGATTTCTGACTCAATTTGATTCTGTGCTATCAAAATCTGTAATAAAGTCCCTGGATTGGGTTAGTGGCTGATTGGAATATGATTCTATATGGGAATATGGCCAGTGGGAAGATTGAAGTGCTGCCTAGAAGTTTTATTTACTTATGGCCCTCCATATAGACACATACACATAAGATAATACTAAGATTGTCACAGTGTGTGCGACTCTTAAGACAGCCAGAATGAACATATATGTTAAGAAATCTATTTTCCAGTGTCCTCAAGTCACACAGATTGGCCCTGTATAATTAAAAATAAATTCAGGCATTGTTTTTGCACATTGGAGCCAAAAATTATGAAACTCTTTAATATGAAGGAAACAGATTCAAGAAAAGATGGGAAACAAAAAAAATAGCAAAATGTTAATTTTGATTGCTAATCTACACACGATTCCTACCTTTTTAAAATTCCACCTCATCTGTAAAGCCCTTGAAAATCTCAATCCATTCCCTAGCGAACTAAGGCAGTAGATATAAAATCTCATTGATAAGAGTTTTGTTGGTACCTACATTACGGCCTAACGGGATGGCTTGTTTGCGGGACTGGTTGGCTGAGGAGGGGAAGGACCACCAAGACTATATTTTGGAATCACTTTCCCTGCCAGAAAGTCCAGGTGGCATTTCTGCTGAAGAAGAATCTCCATATATGCCTTGTCTATTCTGTGAAGAATATTATCCAATATCAGAACAAAATCAAAATCTGAAACACATGATCATAAAACACAAACTTGTCATAGCAGATGTCAAGCTGATTGCAGATTTTAGAAGGTATGTATTGTACTGGAAGAACAGCCTATTGCTGACTTCTGTTGTATAATAAAAAACTCTGAAACAGCTTTAGAGGATCAGGACAATTATTTTCTTTTATGTGATGCCTTACCTGAAGACAGAGAACTAAGGGAGAAATGTCAGCAACAAAGACTGAAAGATATTCTGGATCAACAGCAGCAAGAAAGATATGATGCAGGTTTTCATGGCATATGCATGTTTTGTGACCAGCTTTTTTTGGGTAACAGGTCAGTCCTTATCAATCACATGGCAAAAGATCGTGCATTCAATATTGGATTGCCAGATAATATTGTGAACTGTATGGAGTTTTTGGATGTTCTTCAGAAAAAAATTGACAGTTTCCAATGTTTATACTGTGAAAAAACATTTGGGGATAAGAACAAACTCAAGGACCGCATGAGGAAGAAGCAACATCGTAAAATCAATGCTAAAAACCAACCAAGAATACGACAGATTTTATATTATTAATTATTTGGAATTTGGGAAGTCCTGGGAACAGGTTCAGTCAGAAGATGATCGAGAATTGTTCCACAATCAAGAAGAGGACTGGTCTGATTGGGAAGAACAGCCTGTTTGTGTAGTTTGTCTCTTCTGTGAAAAGCAAATTGACACCACAGAAAAACTCTTTTAAGTTCACATAGAGGAGGCTCATGGATTTAACTTGCTAAAAATTAAGTCTGAGCATGATCTGAATTTCTATCAACAAGTTTAAAACTAATGAATTTCATCAGAAGACAGGTGCACCAGTGTCAGTGTTTTAAGTGTGAGAAAAAAATCCAGTTGAAAAAAGAGTTAACATGTCATTTGGAAGATAGCAAACATATAGCACTTCTGCCTGAGAGATCTGTTTGAGATCAACCACAGTACTATTTTCCTACCTATGAAAATGATATTCTTCTCTGCTCATTTTCTGACAATGTGGATGAACTGGCAACTGAAAAACGAACGGATAACATACCTGTCATTAGTGAAGATGTTTACAATATAGAGGCTTTGAAACAGAGCAGTGTATTAAATGAGCTTCTTCATGAGGAGTTAAATAACATAGAAACATGATTATAATGAAAAAAATCTTAATAACTGGTTTTCAAATTTTAAAAAGAGTAAAATATTTGGATATTACGATGTCCAACATGAATGGTATGTTATTTCAACATAATTATGTTACAGTATGGAATGAAATTAAGATCTATTAAGATGGGAAAAGATGAAATTTATTCTTTCTTGGAGAAATTTCTGGGATAAAAATAAAAATGTTACCTAGATAAGAGTTTTCTCCTAGTCTTATCTTCGATAAAGTATAGATTGTAGCCTCATGAAGGCAGGAACCAATCATTCTGCTACTCTTATTTTACAACATTCTATCTGTTGATGGTATATAACAGTTGGATGTCAGCCTTCTCAGGTAAACGTAAAGGTTCCCGTTGCACATATGTGCTAATTGTTCCCAACTCTGGGGGGTGGGGGTGTGTGCTCATCTCCGTTTCAAGGCCAAAGAGCCAGTGCTTTCTTCCCACTGTTACCTTCCCACCAAAGGTGGTCCCTATTTTTCTACTTACATTTTTTACGTGCTTTTGAACTGCTAGGTTGGCAGAAGCTGGGACAAGTAATGGGAGCTCATCCCGTTAGGCGGCGCTAGGGATTTGAACCGCTGAACTGCCGACCTTTCAATCGAAAAGCTCAGCATCTTAGCCACTGAGCCACCATGTTCCTAATTACCTTCTCAGGTAAAACAGATCAAAAAGATGACCAGAAAAGCTAATTCTATTTCATTTTTCTACTTCATTGTAAGACAACCTTAACACAATCTTGAAAAGTCTTAAGTGTACAAATCTACTTCTCACCTCCTTACTGGAAAGGGATGAAGGAACGGATCCTTCTGAGCCTCTTTCTCTTATTATGCAGCTGTGGGCAATGTCCTGACTTATCTGACTGTTCCCTAGGCAGCATCTCATCTTTCAAGGTCTTTCTCACATAGATACAAGCAATGTTCTTTGTATTGTAGATTGTGCTGGGAACTCTGACTCAACAGGTTCTTCTTATAAGTGTTGACATTTGAATCAACTATTTGTCCAGCAGAGGGGGCTTAAACATACAGCAGAGAGA